AGCCTAGCAGCAGCGCGGGTTTTAGGCCTATCAGTAGCGCGGGAAGGAGCGCTACTGATAAGGCGCTACAGCTAAACCTTAGCAATAGCGCGCCTAGATCCACGCTACTACTAAATTGACTTAGTAGTAGCGGTTCTTCAGAACCGTGCTACTGGTAATTAGTAGTAGCGCTTTTCCTTTCCCGCGCTACTACTATTATTTAGTATTTTATTTCTTTTTTATTTCATATTGTATTCATACACCTTTACACAAGTTTTCATACAACAGGAATTTAGAGATTGTTTTTACATCATAATGAGTTATTACATTGCGGGGTGAAAGAACCGTCGACTAGTTTCAAGTGGATGTCCATCCACTAGAAACTAATCCATGGTTCTTTCACCCAATGATATAATAATATCATCATCATCATCATCATATCATTAACAACTTATCATCATAATACATCATTGTCATATAACACCTCCTCAAGATCATCGTTTTCATCAATGACATCACATAGCAAATTGGTCACTAGTCGTAATCACAAGTACTCCTCATTATCAACTCTAACACATTACCACATAATAAACATATTATACCTCATAGGACCTACTACATTCGATTAAGACCTACTACATTTTCTAAGGTAAAATAGCAAAAAACAAGATAGCCCCTGACTCTCCATTATGGAGAATGGAGATTAGCCTGTCTCCAATTCTTGCCTTTCGCTGAATGTTACTTCCAAGAACCTCCTTGCGAATGTCCATACATTTCTTCCATTCTTTGATGATCATGTGTTCACCGGTTTTAGAAATCCGATATGCACAGGTGAGCTCCCTAGATTTACCTGGCAGTATGTTCAGAACTGAGAGGCGACCATTCAGAGACATCAGATGAGGCACACAATCCATCGGGAGTTTCTGTTGAAAAACATAATAATAAATTCGTAGTTAGCAATGATGTACTAGTTTTAGAAGTATGCAAAAGATGCACAGATGTCGTAATAGTAAAAAATCTTACCAGGGTATCTCCAGAGAAGTTACCGTGATTCAACACATGCACTAGTGGCACGTATTCACCATAATTTGGAGGAGTTCGATAATAGTTATTGTAATTCTCAAGAAGAGTACAAAATGTGATCAGATGATTTTTCTCCTTATACGTTAATTCGGTGCCATCGGTGTAGTCGGTTTTATCTACCATCTTCCGCACAGTCTTTGAAGAATCAAAATAAGCTGTCAATGGAAATAAGCTATCAACTATTTTGAAATAAACAATCTAAATTAGGTAATAACTATGTTTGAGAAACTCACATAGCGGTACAACCGGAAGCGTATCTACAAGGACCCAAATGTCCATATTGTCTTGCTCGATGTCAGGATCACCAAGATCCATGGTGACAATCATACCCTCCTAAAAACCATACATTTTGCAAAGTGCTTCCCAATTTTGGCAATCAAAATGGGTTACGCTCTGAGCATTGCACAGATTTACTTTAAATCCATATCATGATTGATCCTTAGGTGTATATTCTTTGTTTCAAAATTTTCATGGTCTTCAAAACCCATCCTCTCCAAGACAAAGCGTCTTGCATGGCATGGAATAAGCTAGTCGAATTGTAAAATATGAAAATTAGACGTTGAAATAGTTGAAGTCATGCTTAATTACGAAAAAACACTTGTCGTTGTTGCGTACCGTTTTAACATCGAAGGTCCCCTCGAGCTTAATGCTGAAGCGCCGATCTTCGTCCAGCTCAACGAACCTGTCGCACATACCTCGATCGTCGTGGCACCAGCTGCACTCCCCCGGGAGACTGTCGTCGTCCGAGTACAACATTTCCTACGTTCATAATTCAAAGATTAAACTTGTACATATTCTAGCACAAGTCATGCCAGAATTCACGAAAAAAATCCGGCATGACCTTTGCTAAAAAAGGACATATCGAGCGCCTAAAATTTGCCGGAACGGAAATTAATCAACACTCCGGCAAAACATAGGCCACTCGGAGATGTAAAATGAACATGAACGGCCACTTGGGCAACCACATATCCTATTTGAGCAACAACACAAGATATACAAGGATATTTGGCTGGTCTCACCTCGATGTCGGAGGGGGTCGGTGACTGGGATGACGGCGGGGATGTCGGAGGGGGTCGGTGACGGGGACGACGATGGTCACCTGAAACCGTATAAGTTATCACTAATACATCCCGAATAATTGCTTAAACTAAAAAAATAACAACAAATATGACATGTTCAACTAGTTTTATTAATTCAACTAGCTCTTACTAAATATAAACTTACTATAAATAGAAAAAAACTAGTTCTTTCTAAAAATAAAGTAGTTCAACTAGTTATATTAATTATCTTACTAAAAATACATTAGTTCTATTAATTCAACTAGTTCAACTAGTTTATTAATTTACTTGGTAAACTAGTTCAACTACAACTAAAGTAGTTCAACTACAACTACTATTAATCATACTACCCTAGTTAACTAGTACCATCACTACTAGTAATTAACATCTACTACTAAAAATCTAGTACTAATGTCAACCCTAAATTAACACCTACTACTACTAAAAATCTAGTACTAACTAAGAAACATCTAGTACTAGCTATGAACCCTAAATTAACATCTACTACTACTAAATCTAGTACTAACTAGTGGCAGGGGGTGGGGGGCGACGGAGAGGTAGCTAGGGGCGGCGAGGGCGGGATCGGGATCGGGAGGCGGCGGTGCTGGGTGGGCTCGGGTGGCGGCGGTGAGGTCGAGGGCGGTGGGAGGAGGGCTGCCGGCGGTGGAGGGAGGAGGGACGGCCGCAGGCGGAGGGAGGAGGGTGGCGGCGGAGGAGGGAGGGGCGGCCGCAGGCGGAGGGAGGATGTGCGAGGAGGAGGGAGAAGGGACGGAAGGAGGGGAGTACCTCGGCGGCGGACGGACGAAGGCGGCGGCGGCGGTGACGCACGACGACGGTTATCGGCATGCGGGCGAGAGTGAGAGTGTGAGTGAGAGAGAGGGTCGGTTGTGCGCGTGAGGATAAGGTAGGGATAGTTGTAGCGCGTTTGCCGAAATGCGCTACAGCTAATCTGAATAGCAGTAGCGCGGTTCATTATAGGGCGCTGCTGCTATAACTAGCGGAGGGGGGGGGGAGGTCATGGCAATTAGAGCAGTAGCGCGTTTTGTGGTGGACACGCTACTGCTATTTTCCTTTCAGCAGCGCGTTTTGCTATCACGCGCTACTGCTAAGTAGCAGTAGCGTTG